CTTGTCCTGTCAATTAGTAATAAACAGTATGAGTCACATCGTGCGGTCGGATGTTGTAATTGGTTTTTCAATTAGAAATCTCGTCGAGTACTTTTACTGTGTTCCACATTGTGTATATTATCATACAGTAAGTATGACGCATTTAGTATGTTTTTGAAGGTTGCAATTGCGATGTAGTTTATTGAGTAATTTATATAGAGGACTCTGGATGAAATACCAATCATTTAAATATATCTACAAGATTGTGTATTGCAATTACAATGACGCGAGTATTAATTTCTGCTTTGTTCCGTCAGATTTTTAAATGTACTTAAAAATAACCAAGCAGAATAAGTGACTTCGATAAAACCCATATAGGATAATGCGTAATAAGCAAGCGATGAACTTGTGTTAACGGACGGAACTACATTACTGTGTGTGAGTGTGTGTGTGTGTGTTAGCGCGTCGTACATACGCGTAAGCGTATTCAAGACTTACGTAAGCTTAAAGGCATGTAAACAAAGACGACATGTGACCTTCGATTTCGTCATAACTCGAACTACTACGTAGTGTCGTATTGTCCTTTGTTTGCGATAGGCTAGTCGACAACCAAATAATCTAGTAGCTAAAATGGTCTATTCTACTTAACTAAATTGGGGTTTTACAAACATTTAGTTACTAAATGACTCGGTACTCGACTAAATTACTAGCTTGTTTTGAACTAGGCATAATGATGATGTATTTGCGTTGCTGATAACGAAAAATGCATTTAATTTTTTTTGTTTGACTGCCCGCAAACCGCGTTTGTTCCGGGTAATCTCCGAAACGATTGTGCGGGTTTTGCCTGGAGATAGCTAGTAGAAGGGTACATGCAGGATTAATAAAACTTCAACAGTGGCAACTCAATATCATAAAAAATGACGTAAGCAAATCGTCAGACGAAGGTGCAACTGGTATGCAATTATAAAGGGTGATTCTTAATGGACGGATCGCAAGCTTTGTGGAGGCAGTCAATATCTATCGTTTAAGTGCAAATTATGTTGCCCGGTTTGACATACTCGTAGTGTTAAAGATTTTAAGTTTTTGTATAAAAAAAAAAACAAAATGAACAGATTTCGGACTAAAATTTGCCAACAACTGCGCCCATGCCTGTAAAACAAAACAAAAACACTTCGCCTTTCGCTTGTTTTTATGTAAAAATAACGATATTAAATAGTCGATAGTAACAATCTCAAGAATTGTACTATAACAGAATATAGTATTCTGTTAGTCATGGGCTCCACGTCAAGCGCGTCATTGACTAGATTAAAACAAACTCACATTGGTACAGCGAATATGAGGCGTGTTTCTAGATAATCGTTAGTTTGCACGTGACGCTCGCAGTTACGTATTATACAGGAAACTATTAAGCGACGGCGAGATTGTTTTATTTATGTCCTTAACTTGAAATTAATAAAAAAACAAAACCGACTTCCAAACAAAATACACGAAAAACAAAACAAAATGCACTAAAAACAAAACAAAATACACCAAAAACA